CAACCTACCTGCACGTCACCTGAGCCTTTCCAAAAAGCCTCCCCACCCTTTCCGGCCACCAAACTTCCACTGTTCCTCCAGCAAACCAGACGCCAGAGCCACATCCCCCATGCCCTGTACCCTCATCAGGTATCGTAGCGCCAGCTTGACCCGACTATACTCCAGGGGCATCTCTCCTTTGATCAGGTAGTTTAATAGAATCATTACTTACTGCCAACCAATCAAAATCACTGTTCTGATATCAAAGGTTATGTTAAGGAAGACTGTTTTCTTGTATTAGGTAAATGTTTAAATATGCAATTGTAATTCCCTGGTGCCACCTTAAAAACCTGCAGTTGGTAACAGGACATGATGTCATCAGTAAATAGGAAGTAAGTCTGTGAATTAAGGAGAAGGCATGTGCAGCATGGTGACCTTAGCCAGATAAATCCAGTGGCATCCACATACATCCTATGTCTTTGGTAGCATTGTGGGTATGTATAGACTTGCTTTATATGTTATGTGCATGTATAAATCATTTTCTTTCGAGTAAGTTAATTTTTTTTGTAAGTTTAATGATAAAACCGATCTTGTGCAGTTTGAGCTAGCAATCGCTAATGGAGCTACTTAAAGGGGAACAACAAACACATTAAAGCCATTCATTATAGCGAGACTTGTTAAAATCATAATTTGATGTTTGTAATTGAGTTAAAAAGATAAGTAATTCATATGGACATTGCATGTTGACATATTTAAAAAGAAACTGGGTTAATATATTTTCATCGTTATATATGTACATGGTGAATAAGTACAGTGATTATGCCTTGTACTGTTTGTTACAGTTTCACCTTTCCCTGTGTCAATAAACCTGTGAACCGGGAATCGTGTCATCAGAGTCTTGATGTGGGGAAGGAGTTTAGCTGACTGCCCATCCCTAGCAGAGGCAGTACAGTGAAACCACACTTCCTAGCGGGCAAGATAACGTGGAAACACCGACAGATGGTAAGGAGACCATCATCTCAAGCAACTAATGGACAATTAACACATCTAAGCAGAGATTCGCTAAGAAATTGTTCAGTCCAAGTCAGAAGAAACAACCATGTCAAAAACGAACTCGCACACTCCTTCTGCGCACTCCAGTGCATCATCTAATGGGTCTGCGGCAGCCAAGGCACGAGCACGCGCAGAAGCAGCAAAGGCTCGTCTTTCTTATGCTGAGGAGGAAATAAACCTAAAACTAGAAAAGGCTAAATTGGAAGCCTCACTAAAAATGCTAGAATATAAGAAAGAAACTGCTGCAGCCATTGCGGAGGCAGAAGCGCTGGAAGCTGCAGCTGATATCAATAGTGAAAGACGTAGTTGTGACCTTGTACTAGATTCCGACCCTCTAGAAACAACTCAACGGACACAACAGTATGTTGTGGACCAAAGCAAAGTATCAGAGACAGAGCATCAGCGGCATGAAAATGTTACTCCAATAAAAACAGAGTCATTCTCCAGCTCACATGGAGTTCAGATCTGTAAAGAAGAAGATTTTCACGAGTCACGACGAGTAAGATTTGAACATAGTTCTGCTACTCCAACCCAGAATCTCAGATCTCAAAATGACTATAGGGATGCATTTTCCTCAGACTATCCCATTTCTCCTAACGCCAACTATAGCAACCCCAACCCAAATGATTTTGTGAGATATCTTGCACGCCGTGAACTTGTGTCTACAGGCTTACTTCAATTTAATGACAAGCCACAGAATTACAGAGCCTGGAAACGCTCATTTCTTTCTGCAACCAGTGGCTTAGATTTGACTGCGAGTGAAGAGATGGATCTTCTCTTAAAGTGGCTTGGTAAGGAGTCAAAAGAACACGCAGAGCAGATCAGAGCAATTCATGTTAATCATCCAGGAGCTGGGCTGGATATGATATGGGAAAGACTCGATAGAACCTATGGCTCAACAGAGGCAATAGAGGATTCTCTCTTTAAGCGCATTGACACGTTTCCAAAGTTAGGAAACCGAGACTATGCTAAGTTAACAAAGTTGAGTGATCTTCTGATGGAACTTCTTTCGGCTAAGGATGAAGGAGACCTACCTGGACTTTCATTCCTTGACACAGCAAGAGGTGTTAACCCAATCGTGCAGAAGCTCCCCTTTCGTCTGCAAGAAAAGTGGGCTTCAGCTGGTGCATCGTACAAACGGCGAGAGCATGTGCCATATCCGCCTTTTACCTTTTTTGTAGAGTTTGTTAGCCAGGAGGCTAGCACTGCCAACGATCCAAGCTTCAACTTCATCACTCAGACAGACATCAGCCACAGAACTGAGAAGTTAGCGTGGCAGCCAAATAAGCATAGAGAAATCTCAGTTTGTAAAATGAACGTATCCTCCAGAGCTAGTTCTGATTTTAGTAAATTCTCATCAAAGCTTGATGATTGTGATAAAGTATGCCCCATTCATGGGAAACCACACCCATTACGCAAATGTCGTGCATTCAGAGAAAAATCGATTGAAGAGCGCAAGATGTTCTTGAAGGAACACAATTTGTGTTTCAGATGCTGCGCAGCATCATCGCACCTTGCTAGGGATTGCAAGGTCAAAGTGCAGTGTTCCGTGTGCAAGAGTGAAAGGCACGACACAGCTCTGCATCCGGGGCCTGCACCTTGGATAGAAGTGAAGGACCCTGCTCCAGACCATGGCGGGGAGGAAGTTGAAACTCTGCCTCAATCGGACATCACCGCCAAATGCACGAAGGTTTGTGGGGGAGATATGATGGACCGATCCTGTTCCAAAATATGCCTCGTGAAGGTATATCCAGCTGGGAAAAGAGAAAAAGCAGTAAAGCTGTATGCAATTTTGGATGAGCAAAGCAACAGGTCGTTAGTTCGCTCACAATTTTTTGAAGTGTTTGGTGACAGAAGCCCAAGTGCGCCGTACATACTGAGAACATGTGCAGGAGTAAAAGAATCATCAGGAAGGAGGGCAAGTGGATATGAGGTGGAATCTCTTGATGGGACAGTCCGTATTCCATTACCCAGTCTCACAGAATGCAAGGAAATCCCCAACAATAGGGATGAGATTCCAACCCCTGATATCACTCTTCATCATGTACATTTAAAGTCACTGGCACACCTCATCCCAGATCTGGACCCAAATGCCCAGATCATGCTTCTCTTAGGGCGGGACATTATCAGAGTACATAAAGTCCGCAAGCAGGTGAATGGTTCATACAACCAGCCCTATGCTCAGAAGTTAGATCTGGGGTGGGTTGTTGTGGGCAATGTGTGTCTCGGCAGTGTCCATAGGCCATCAGCAATCAGCTCCTTCTACACAAATACCACAGAGCTGCAGAGGCCATCTATCTTTAACCCGTGCCCCAATGTGTTTTGTGTTAAAGAAAGGTACAGCGTCACCCAGGTTGCAAACCATCTTCCAACATGTTCTGAACAAGAGTCCACCTGTGATGTTGACCATCTTGGATGCAATGTGTTCAAAAGGACCAAAGAGGATAACCAAGTTGCTCCTTCGATTCAGGACGCTTCATTCATGAAAATAATGAAGGATGGACTACAGAAAGACACAAATAACAGCTGGGTAGCCCCGTTACCCTTCAAGAGTCCACGTCAGCAGCTTCCTAACAACAAGCCTCAGGCACTGAAGCGTCTCAAGTCTCTCATTCACAACTTTGAGAGGAAGCCTGAAATGAAGGAACACTTCCTTAGCTTCATGGAACAGATGTTCAAAAATGGTCATGCAGAGTTGGCTCCTCCATTGGGTGAGGAGAAAGAGCGATGGTATTTACCAACATTCGGTGTGTACCATCCCAAGAAACCAAAGAAGATCAGAATAGTTTTTGACTCCAGTGCTCGATTCAATGGTGTGTCACTCAACGATGTGCTGTTGACTGGGCCTGACCTGAACAACACACTGCTGGGTGTATTGATTCGCTTTAGAAAGGAAGCTGTTGCATTCTCAGCAGACATAGAACAAATGTTCTACTCTTTCTTGGTCAGAGAAGAGGACAGAAACTTCTTGAGGTTTCTATGGTTCCGTGATAACGACCTCTCCAAAGACATCATGGACTACCGCATGACAGTCCATGTGTTTGGGAATAGCCCCTCGCCTGCGGTGGCTATTTACGGCCTGCATCAATCCGTTCAGGTCAGTGAGTTCCAGGTTGACCCTGATGTAAAGCATTTTGTGATGCGAGACTTTTATGTAGATGATGGGTTGAAGTCTCTGCCTACAGTCGAAGCAGCTATCGACTTGTTAAAGAAGACACAGGATGTCCTCTCCAGATCTAACCTGAGGTTGCATAAGATTGCAGCAAACAAGACGGAGGTCATGAGAGCCTTTCCTTCAAGAGACTATGCAAGTGACCTTAAAGATCTTGACCTCGATGTAGACACAGTGCCGATGCAACGCAGTCTCGGGCTCAACTGGAACCTTCAAACAGATTGCTTTGTCTTCAGTGTCTCTCAGGAGACAAAACCTTATACCCGCCGGGGAGTCTTATCTATCATTAACAGTCTCTATGATCCTCTTGGGTTTGTAGCACCAGTTTTAATACAAGGCAAGACCATTCTACGAGAGCTCACTGCTGAGAATTGTGACTGGGATGCGCCATTACCTCGAGACAAAGAGGAAGCTTGGACCTCGTGGAGAGCTTCACTGACAGAGTTGTCAAGTCTGATGATACCCAGACCCTACACTGAAACTTCACCATCGACAGCTGTCAACAGAGAATTGTGTGTTTTCTCTGATGCTTGTGTCTACATTAAGCACTGCCACAGCATCCAAGCAACTTGGGTCCCAACGATTCACCAAGTTTTCTTCGTGGCGGTCACTGACTTGTGCAATCGCCCATCTGAAACATATTGCCAGTTGCTACAACATGATCACAACGAACAGACTTTGTAAGGGCTGGCATCTTTGCAAGACAGGATTGAGTGTTGAGGAATCCACCCAGGCCTCAGACATCATCATTCGATCAGTCCAAGAAGAGGTTTATGGTGAGGAGATCAAATGTATCATGGTACACAAAGAGGTTCCCAGAAGTAGTCCTCTGAAAAGTCTCGATCCCTTTATTGATGCACATGGCCTACTAAGAGTCGGAGGTCGTCTTAACTATTCAAGCCTTGCTCAGAGTGAGAAGACTCCTGTGATTATTCCAGGGAATCATCATATTGCGACCCTGCTCATCAGAAAGTACCACGAACAAGTTCACCATCAAGGGCGACTCTTTACGGAAGGGGCTGTCCATTCAGCTGGGTTGTGGATTGTTGGTGGCAAGAGAAAAGTGAGCAGCATCATCTACCGATGTGTGACATGCAGAAGACTCAGAGCTCCAGCAAGCTGTCAAAAAATGGCCAGCCTTCCGGCAGATCGTCTTTCAACAGACCCTCCCTTCACAAATGTTGGCCTTGATGTGTTTGGTCCTTGGAGTGTTTCTGCACGCCGGACTAGAGGAGGCCTCTCACACAGCAAAAGGTGGGCCGTGACTTTTACATGTATGAGCGTAAGAGCAGTACATATTGAAGTCATAGAATCCCTCGACACGTCCAGCTTTATCAAGGGCCAGTCAAAAGTATTCGATCAGACAGAGGCACTAACTTCGTGGGTGCTTGTCAGGCCTTGAAGATACCTTCTAACATCGACCACAATGGTGTCAAGTCTTACCTGTCAGCCCAAGGATGCTCTTGGACATTCAACCCTCCATATGCCTCCCACTTTGGTGGAACGTGGGAAAGGATGATTGGTCTGGCTAGAAGGATTCTTGACTCCATGTTCCTCCAGCTCAAAGGGAAGCTTACCCATGAAGTGTTGGTAACTTTCATGGCAGAAGTAGCAGGCATTATTAATGCCCGACCTCTTGTTCCTGTAACAACTGACCCCGACAACTCATTCATTCTTACGCCAGCTGCTCTTCTAACACAGAAGGTAAACTGTGTTCCTGCTCCTCCAGGAGAGTTTGGACCCTCTGACCTCTACAAGCATCAGTGGAGACAAGTCCAGCACCTGTCCAACACCTTCTGGGACAGGTGGCGCAAGCAGTTCCTTCCAACATTGCAATCACGTAGGAAGTGGCAGTCATCTAACCCAAACATTAAGCCAGGGGATGTTGTTCTCCTCAAGGACAGCCAAGTACAAAGAAATAAGTGGCCACTTGGTCTGATAATACAGACCTTCCAAAGCAAAGATGGTAAAGTTCGCCAGGTCGAGGTCAAGGTCATCAAGCCCGGCGGAGAAACATTGTTTGTCAGACCCATTACAGAAATAGTACTTCTTCTGGCTCCAAATGTCTAGGTGTTAAACTGTCATTGGTAAAGTGTGGTGGCGTTAATCACGCCAGGCGGGGAGTGTTCTGATATCAAAGGTTATGTTAAGGAAGACTGTTTTCTTGTATTAGGTAAATGTTTAAATATGCAATTGTAATTCCCTGGTGCCACCTTAAAAACCTGCAGTTGGTAACAGGACATGATGTCATCAGTAAATAGGAAGTAAGTCTGTGAATTAAGGAGAAGGCATGTGCAGCATGGTGACCTTAGCCAGATAAATCCAGTGGCATCCACATACATCCTATGTCTTTGGTAGCATTGTGGGTATGTATAGACTTGTTTTATATGTTATGTGCATGTATAAATCATTTTCTTTCGAGTAAGTTAATTTTTTTGTAAGTTTAATGATAAAACCGATCTTGTGCAGTTTGAGCTAGCAATCGCTAATGGAGCTACTTAAAGGGGAACAACAAACACATTAAAGCCATTCATTATAGCGAGACTTGTTAAAATCATAATTTGATGTTTGTAATTGAGTTAAAAAGATAAGTAATTCATATGGACATTGCATGTTGACATATTTAAAAAGAAACTGGGTTAATACATTTTCATCGTTATATATGTACATGGTGAATAAGTACAGTGATTATGCCTTGTACTGTTTGTTACAGTTTCACCTTTCCCTGTGTCAATAAACCTGTGAACCGGGAATCGTTTCGTCAGAGTCTTGATGTGGGGAAGGAGTTTAGCTGACTGCCCATCCCTAGCACAGGCAGTACAATCACAGAACCAGGATCACCAAACCCTCCCCTCTAAAAAACAGACAGCAAGTGACTTAAACAAGACGTCACAGCAAAAGAGTGTTTTGATTTTTACAAGTCAAAAAAAAACAGTCTTTTGCTAGAATTAGGAGCTGAGTGCAATTACTCATCTGACAGAGCTGCACATTTGGTTATTTTCCTGTATTTTTATTTTCCTTTTGTTGCGCTCTCACAGACGATATTAATAATGGTTGAGGCCATCTGTCTCTGCGGCTAACTTCCTATCCCTTACTCAGTACCGTGAGTGGGGAACTCTCCGGCAGTGTAGCATGATGGAAGTGGTTACACTTATTAAACGATCAATAAGATGTGATTTCCATATAAATATGGATGATCAATATGATTGGTCTTTGAATATTTTATTTAATATCAACTTAGGTTCTTTGGATTATTCAGGGAAACACACATTTCATATAAATTCAGACAGAGTCAAGGATATAGTTTTTAAAAATTAATTTAATTCAATATTTCTAAACTAATAATGGACACAGACCAATTTATGATGAATGATGTGGGACTGAGTGAAATGGTGGAATGTAAGCTTAGATGTTTTGTAGCAAAAGCTTATTAAGTATCTGAGAGATCTTGTGATGTCTGGGTTGTAAAATCTGTTTGACTGTATGGTTTAACAAGCTATCAATCGATACCCGTGTTGGAAGGCAGCTCTTGGCAGTCCAGAGGAAAGGCAGCCTGAGTGGTATTGTCATCCGATAGAGTGGCTCCTGGAATCTCAAAAGTCGCAGCTCTCTTTGAATTCAGATATCAACGGCCATAAGATGCTGCCAGCATCTGCTAGTTAGACGTTGCATTTCTGAGGAGCTGTAGCGTCGGATACCACCTGCAAGTGTTGCAAAGAGGCTTTGGCTTTGAGTCAAAAGAGAGGACTGGCTAGTCCAGGAAGTGAATTAGCTACTGTTTACAAATGTAGAAAAATCAGAATCTGACAAGTTTACAGGCGTTACCGAAATACCTCACGCAATCCCTCCTTCACTCAGACACTAAGAAAGGTTGTTTATTAATGTGAAGTTAAATCGTATTAAACATTACTGCGAAGTAAATGTTAAACATTAATAATATCACTATGATGTGTGAATATACTGATGGATTAACATTAAATTAATGATTTACTATTCTGGTGTAATTTAAGATCTGAAACAAATCTTTACAGGAATAACATTCATATTTATCCATCATTCATTAATGTTGAGAATTGGACACATTATCAAAACGCTTTGGATTTAAACAAATTGCTCATTCAACAAAATATGATTATATAACACTTATACAATTATAAAGTCATTTATGAGCCAGGGAAGACAAGCTTCATTCAAAGAGGAAAGATAAAAGGTCCTGTGTCTCCTGCAGCCTTCATGACTTATGAAGTACTCAGGATAAGTTATGAATATTGGCTCAAGTTCATAGCCTTCATATAGGCACCACGGTGTCAGATCGACCTGTATCCAGAAGTTTGGCCTGTAAGTTAACTTCTGATCATTGTTATGAAATACTTTGCCATTTGGTACACCACAGGCAGGCTGCAGCTGAACAGGATTCTCTGTGATAACACCAAGTGGATTTGAAAGCACAACGTCTTTTCTTTTTAAAAACATAAACATTTTTCTGATGGCACAAACCATTGCAGAATTACGGTAATTCAAACAAGCTAGTAAAACATGTCAGAGTTCTGTGTCAGAGAGGTGTTTTGTGTGAAAAAACAATCAGGCAACCCAGTAAAACATTCAGGTGGCCCACCTAGGTAAAACTATACAAGAAAAATTTTTTATGCATGGGTTTTGATAGATGGTTTTGATGAATCAAAGCATTTGAAAGCTATATCTATCTTCAGTTATCACCCTTGCATTATTAGAGTAGAACAAGAAGAGCGCCTCTCAAGACAAAAATCGCAAAGTGCTTCACAGGCACATCAAGCTATTTTTTTGTTTAAATGGGAGAAAAAAAAACTTTTTGTGTTATGATAGTATGAAGTAATTTCCAGAGAAGGGTATTTTGGAAGCAACATGTCAACTCCATGCCATAATTTTGTTCTGCTCTACAGCGGAACAAGATTCATTCACTGCAATGATTGAAATCACCTGATTTAGTTGCTGAATTGAAGAAAAACATGCATGGAGATGACTTGTTGATCCCACAATTCCGACACCTGTGATGTGTAGGGTTTGAGAATTTGAGTGCTTTAAGAGCTCAATATATATTACCTCAGCTTGTTATGACCAATAAGCTGTGATACTCTATCTAAATATAGAATATCAACCCTGGTCTTTACTGTGTTTATCAGAAGATGCTAGGATTCTTTGTTTATTAAGGCACTGTACACACTTCGTTTTGCTTCAGAAAAGAGTCAGGTTTATAAAAGTAGGAATTTGTTTACCAACAATTAAAACATGACAAGTTAACATTTTACTGTGATGGATGGAACTAGATATGATTAGGGATGGGTACCTTTGACATTTGAATCAATTTGGTACTAATTCCCGGTACCTAGGAATCGATACCAGTACTTAACGGTACCAATTTTAGATACTTTTGAGAGTTTAATATTTTAATTCTCTTTTATAATAAAATATATATTTTTCTCAATGTATAACCATAGTTGATAAATATCACAATAAATAATATACAACTGTTTGTATTTTGACATTGTCCTTGTAGTTTTATAAGCTGATAATTAAACTGAAGCAAACATCTTTACTGTGAACTAAATTTACTGTGTATCTTTATTCCTTTTGCCATCCTTTTCCTTTGATTTTTCCTACTAGGAAGTTAGAATTTCCAAGGAGAAAGCGAACGCACCATTGGCTGATAACAATGGTGGCAATGGAAGCTAATTTATCAAGCTAACGTTATCTTAAATCGACTGTCGACGACTGTCAAATCTACTTTTCATTTAAGCCAACTCAATCAACGAAAGTTCTGTCTGATTGTATCCTTGAGGTCAAGCAATCGCTAGCTGACAACTTCCTCCATCTTAATGACTCCAAAACTGACTTAATCGTTTTCAGTCCTTACAGTACCACGGCTACTCATCAACCTGACCTCAGCCATCTCTCACCTAATGTATCCTCTGTAATTTCCAACCTCGGAGTAAAAATGGACCAGGCTCTGAAGATGGATGCCCAGGTCAATAACACAGTTAAATCGTGTTTTTACCAACTAAGACGCATCTCGAAACTAAAACACATCCTGAGTGTACGTCTTCTAAAATCTGTGGTCGACACTTTCATCACCTCAAGGCTGGATTACTCTAACTCCTGCTTATATGGCATCAGTAAAGCAGCTCTTTCTAGACTTCAGCTGGTCCAGAATTCAGCAGCTAGGTTACTGACTGGTGCTGACAAAAGACAACACATTTCACCAATTCTGAAATCTCTCCACTGGTTGCCCGTGCAGTTTAGGATAAATTTCAAAATTATGCTTCTGACTTACAAATCCTTGAACCTTCAAGCTCCTCCATATCTATGTGAACTTGTCCATTACGACAACCCGCCGCGTGCTCTCAGGTCCGAAGATAAGCTCCTCCTAGCTGTTCCGAATGCACGTTTAAAAAGCCGTGGAGAAAGGGCTTTCTCTGTCTGTGCACCGAAGCTGTGGAACACATTACCACTGCTAGTGAGGCAAGCACCAACAGCTAGCATTTTTAAATCACGCTTGAAAACTCACAACTTCAACCTAGCATATACCACATAATTATGAACATCACTTACATCTGCACTGTTTAAAAATGGAATTCACAATATCAACTTCCGTATTATTGAGGTTCTTTTTTAAAATGTTCTTCTAATTTTTCATTCTCCCTGTGTTTTATTGATTTTTAGCTGTTAGTTTTGGGAATTTTGTTGTTTTTCCTTTTTATCTTTTATCTGTGTTCGACATGTTTGTATAACGCCGGTTTAATTAACTAACATTTTTAGTGTACAGCGCCTTGTTTGGTTGTAATGCCTTGTTGAATGCGCTTTATAAATAAAATTGGATTGGATTAAATTGTTTATTTAGCTGCTGGAGCAAATTAAAACGATGATGCTTCACACTTAGATCGTTGTCACTGGTTTCGTCTTCACTCAATCACCCGTCGCATTTAATAAACTGAAGCCAAACTTTAGAGCGCGTTCATGTCCTAGTCGGAAATTCGGAGTTCTGAGGAGAAAGCAAACGCACCATTAGCAGAACGGAAGCTAACATATCAAGCTAACGTTATCTTAAACATTTTATTTACCTGCCGGAGCAGATTAAGATGAGGATGTCTTACTTAGAGATCGTTGTCACTGGTTTCATCATCACTCAGTTACCCATCACATTTAGTGAAGTGGACCCAAGCTTAAGCGTGCAATCTTTCTACCATGCTGCTCTGTTTACAAATCGCTCGCAGCGACTGACGACATAACACTCTTGCACATACGCAGCTGTCTAGGCAAGTACTCGTTATGAAGGACGGGTACCGAAACGAGGCACCGTTTCAAATGACGTGAATCGTGCTCAGTCAGTACTATGGAATTCGGTCGGTACCTTAAAAAGTACCGAATTCGGTACCCATTGCTAGATATGATGTATGAAACCTATGTGTGAATGCGATGTTATCAGAACTTGTATCTAGGAAAGCTGAGTTCTGGATGTAAAAGAATTTGGGTTGCGCTAAGCTATGAAACTGATTATTATGAAAAACACATCAGACGCTATCTGTGTGTCTACTTCACCCATTTTCGGAGACCCTGTTGGTGGATCCCAAGGTCAGAGAGGTCGGATGACCTCTGGCACCAAAGGTCCAGTAGATTGACCACAGCACCGACTTCTCCAGTCCAGAGATGTCTCGGGTCATGACAGATGGATGGAACCGCGGGTCTGGGACTCTTTAAGGAGTCAGAACAATATCAGCTTTTTCTGCAGGAACTGTTGCAGTATCAGCTTTTCAGGTGCTCCTGAAGGAGTCCGAACAGCTTGTTCTGCAGGAACTGTTGCTGTATCAGCTTTGCAGGTGCAAAAAGGTTTTGACGACATGTCAAAAGCTTTAATGAGTTAGAGACTTTTGCTTCAGATGGCCGGTCTGAAGCTTTCTCTAGAACTGATGAATCACCAGAGTGATCCAGTTTTAATGTTCTCATGTTATGGTTTGTGTAGCCAACCATAGGTTGACAAGTTTGAGGAATATTACCAAGAATCTCAGAAACACACCTTCCTTGATCCGGAGGCTCTGATCTGAGGTAAAGGCTATTTATGTGTCATGAGTTTAACTTAACCTTACTTGTTCTTGTGTGAGTGCTAATGGTGATGACCTTGTCATATAAACATGCTGAAACATATTTCAATCACTGTAATCATATCATAACAATCATTTCAAACTTCAATCATTGAGCACAGATTAATGAAAACATTTCATTATATTATAATTATTATAAGTAGCAATAAACAAACGTTTATTTAATGATTATCTAGCTTATAAGTTTTAGAAGTTAATATTTAATTTAGGAAATTATTCTTTGATTTGGCAACTGATCCGAGCTGCGAGTGTTAGGCATGAAGAGTCCTGTAGGATGATAAGGGAAGCTTGGACCTTGAGGAGAGAACATTTTTGTTGACAATTTGTTATCTGTGTTCAGAGCTGCAGAGAGGGTCTGAACTCCAGCTGATGGGATGAAGGCAGGCTGATTTAAAGGGGACACATGCATTCTTGTGTCTCCATTTTGACCAGATGTTGAATGGTCAAACTGTACCTAAAATCTGACCATTGCTGGACTTTACAGATGATTTCTGGTCATGTTTGCATACATATGGTGATAATGTCCTGATCCTTGAATTGATGACAATCTTTAATCAAACTCAAAATTGCTATTTCTGTCATGAACAGAACTCAGAAGGACCCGTAATGACACCAAAAACTTGTCACCTGACGAGCCTGTTTGCTGGTTCAGAGTAGATCCATGAGCATGGCCATCCTGGTCTCCAAAAACAAGATGCTGTGTTCGACTCTGAGTCGCTGCTCCTGTTTTGGTGTCGAGTCCATGTTGTGGCCAGATTATTCTGTCATGAACAGAACTCAGAAGGACCCATAATGACACCAAAAACTGTAAAGAACCTTTAAAAGCCTTTATTTGATGTGGAGTTACCAGAGGTGGGCGAGGCTGGAGACAGAGTCGGGGACAGGTGAA